TGTCTTAAAGGAGCAGTGTGTTGGATTTAGTGGCATCCAGCAGTGAGGAACAAGCTGAAACTTCTCATGTGGGCCAATTGTGAACTCCTGGTTAGGATTCCTTTAGTGTTCGTTGTTTTTACCAGGAGCCGTATTATCCCCAGAGGTCTCCACCTCTCCAAAACGAATGAAGCAGGTAATTAAAATTGGTAAAAACGCTGAATAAAGCAGTTTCACGTGACAAATCAGTGTTTCTCCGATGCTGTTCAGCCCTGCTAATGTGAGTGACTACCTTTGTTCCCCTGATAACCTAATCTGCACTGACCCTTTGAATCATACAGATGTTCAGGAAGTTTTAACCGGGGGCTGAATTATCTGCAGAGGTTTCTTCTGCTTCAAAACATACCCAATAAACACCCAATAAATTTAAAATTTAAAAATCTATGTTTTTCCAACGCTGCTCGTCGCGCGGGAGGCTGTTAACTAAAGGTGCTTTCAGACCTAGAGTTGTCTTGCTTTGGTCTGAATCAGGGACTAATTTTGTCACAAAGTTTTATAATTGCCCAGAGATGGTTTGTGTACTCACGGCAGCATTTACAAGTGGACCAGATATAAAGCTTGTGCAAGAAAGCTGCTCTTGATTGGTCAGAATTTACATGCAGGAAAGATCAGGGAAGTAAACAAAACGTTGAAGAAGAGTACACTTGCAAGATAAATGCAACACTTTCTAATGTCACAATGGAGGGACAACTACGCAGGTTGATTTTAGCGCTGCTCATCGTGGACTATATTGCTGTCATTGTTCATTTTAGTCAAACCATACAGTTTGAAAACGAGGTGCGGCTCCAACTAGAAAACAATGCTTTGTTGCATTGGATTTGTCCAGGACTGTAACATGCTTATGTTTAACCCAAACAATGCGTAATGTGACTGCAGTTCGTTTGGATCGAGGTCAGAACATATTCTCACCACAAACGAACACCACCAGAGTATGTATGTAACCTGACCGAGACCACCTCTTCAAGAAGGTCTCGGTCAGGTTGTGCGTTGTGCGATTGCTGTGTCCAGGGCAAAGGAACTTGAGTTCGATTGAACTGAACCAAATGCAAATGGTCCTATCTAGGGCCAGTGTTTGGTCTGTCCATTCTGGGTTACTGTGAAAACATCGTGATGCAACATGGCAGACTACCTGAACAAAGACTTGCTTCTTAAGTAGAAATATTTATTCTAAGGTTATGAAAAAACTTTGATTCTTATTTTCAGGTAATTATATAGTAAAGAAAACATACTTATTATATTCCATTGCTGCCTATATATCCCAAATCCTTCACACTGGACCTTTAAAAGGGATTTTGGGAAATACGCTCACGCCTAAACGTGGAATTAATCTTGTCATCTAAACTTTGGGAAAAGAGAGCGAACAGGCGATTTTTCCAAAATGTCAAAGTCATGTCAGAGCACAGAAGTGTATCAACTCCTTTCCGCTAGCGTTTCTCCTGTTATGCTTTTGTTCAGTAATGATTTAATGCCATATGGTTCGTTATAATTGCTCCTCAAATTAAACAGAATAAACTGAGCCACATTTTCTTGTGACATCAAGAATTGAATCCTCGTGTAGCCTGTGGTTACCACAGCCGGCTGACATTGTGATGTCCAAGACACAGCTGCGTGAAGTTAAATACTGTCTGGAGAGTTCTGCAATGACTGATCCATGATACCTTCAGACTAAAATAACTTCCTATTGTCTGTTTACATGTTGGCTGGCTTCCTACACAGAATGAAACAATGCTCAGACATGCACAGACATGGGCATGAAAACAGGATGACACCTGACAACCTTGCGTCTGCGACAAAAATATGTCAATGTAGCACGGAAGTGTAAACAGGATTTGACATGTTTTAAATGAAAGAACTTGTTGTGATATAATGCTAATCACCTTAGGCAACGGTAAGCAGCTTTTTACTCATGGCTGGAGCACTTCCTATTTACCACTTATTTCAAATATAGTTTTCCTCACAATGATGCAGTTGGCGCAGGAGGAAAAGATTCATGGTTTGTCATATCTAATTAATGACAGGAAGAAAGGTCTGGATGTTAAATATTGTCGTATCCTGTTTGGGTCTGCTGTCCAGGTGGTCCAACACGAGAAAAATCATATTACATCATATCCCAGAAACCTCCTGTTCAGGTCATTCTCTCTGTTCTGAAACATTTGTTTTTGCGGTTTCAGTGTTAAAAACATGTATTCAGCAGCAGCAGCGTCATTTAAGTCAAAGATGATAAACAGAAACTTTTGCCTCCCTGGGCTCTAAGTATTGTTAATGAGATCCTTCAAAGTAAGGGGCTCTCTGGCTTCCACCTTCCCCTAAAAGGCCCCACTGTGGAGGAAACCAAAGCTGCCCCAACAATGATGAATGGACATCATTAATGTTGTTCATCTGTTTACCTTTTACTCGGCAATCTGGGAAAATGAGGGGTCAACAGCAAAAGAAAAAATGTGCTTAATTTGGCACTCCAGTTTTTAAGAGCCACCCGTTTGGTTTTCACAACATCAAGAGACGTCGCAGGCTGTGAAGGACTTATTTATGCGACCAGCTGACTCTCCCTAAATCACGAAGCTTCATCACAAACCCAATTAGAGAAGAGGTTCAGTTGACATTTTGATCTTTATATTTCCATTTCTGGATCAGTGAAAAGCTTTCAAGCATTCTTTATACTTTTTTTTTTTATAAATCTCTGATCATAACAATCTCGTCTATCTGCACAGCAGGCAAAAAACAGAGGACTATTTCTCTTTTAGAACTTGATTTCATTAAAGAAGCATCATTCAGATTGTGTCTTGTTTGAATAAATCTTTCAAAATAACATAAAATCAAAGCAGGAAAGACACTTTTTTCTCCCAACACAACAACATGAAGACACATAGTTAACCAGAGAAGTCGCCAGAGGGAAATGTCAGCATTGTACGTCTCTGCAAACCACGGATATGTTACATTTGATCGTTTCATCATATCAATGTCTCTCAAGAGATGTAGTTCTGATCACATGAATATGAGCTGATTTTGTAAGCAGGAGGTGGAGAGGGTGGTGGACGGTGTGACAACTTGGCGAGACGACTGTCAAACTGCGGACAACTGTTTGAGCGCAACAAACAACAAAACCAGTTGTTTTTAGCAAGACGTCCGCTGCATTTTTAGCAGCAATTGTGCCACCAAAACCAGTGTTTTTTCCCAAGTGGTTTTCAAACTAACTGGTTACCATACACCATACCTAACAGCAACCGGTGTGGTCTGCATTTGTCCCCACATTGGCCAGACATTCACAAACATATCACTGGCGATTTTCAAGTTGCTTCTTATATGTGCTGGAGTGAATATGATTGTATACAGTAAGTGCGCACTACATCACAGCCATCTAGCATACAGCACCTTCACATGTATCGGAACCAGTTACAGTGCCTACCACAGCACATCTGGCACTCTGTGCCGCCTGTGGGAAAATCTGCCACTGACCAGTTAGTTTGTAAACCAGCTGCGACATTTAGTGAAACATCAGTGGCATTTCAAACCATGATTGCGCCACCAAACCTGGATATTTTAAGGCAAACACAATCGCGGTTTGCAGAAACATATAATGCCAACATTTATTCTGGCAATTGGGCTGGGTTAACACTATCATTGTGGTTTGAGGAAAAGCAACGAGGGCCTCAAGCTATATCTCCTCCTGGAATACGCTATCACTAGAGCCAGGTTTGCTTGTCTTGTCAGCGTGTACTTAGATCACTGAAAATGTTTGCAACATTTTCAGTGATCTTATTAGGCCCTATCAGCTCGTGCACCTTTAAAAACACAGATAGATCACTGGGCAGATGGCGAGGCAGCAGTAGGAGTCTGGCTTTGTCCTCTGAGCAAACACAGTCTGTGCTGCTGCTGTAGGCAGGGAGGAGATGTCATGGTCTTTAGCTCTTCTATTCAAAATATTTGATACAAAACATGTGTCTACATCAGAGTAGCCCTACTTTTGCTTGAAGTTGATGTATTAATTCCAAAGTCTAAAAGTCAGGAAACAGCTTCTTGGCAATTCTTGGTCCATCTGCACTTGCAAGACTGCAGCAACAGGGTGGATAGTGACAAAGTCAGAGGAGCTAGAACAGAATAATTGTAGAGTCCAGCTCCCCAAAGAGCCACAGTTTACTTTGCTTACATTCTGTCTTCTCCTTGGGTTTCGAAGAGCATCCATCATCGCCATGTAGAGATACAATTTAGGAAAACAGCACTGTGATACTGCCCAGTGTAATTAGAAGAAACGTCTTTTACAATCTCTGCTTGTTTGCGCCTACTGATGTTCTGTCCGGGATGATGGTAATGGGGGGATGGTTCACCCTGCTTAAAGTGTCTGAGATGTTTAGAAACACCACACTCCTGAGTGTGGTCTGTACAATGGCAGGAGCCGCTGCAGCTATTCAGCACTATTGAAGGAATGTGTGGAAGCCCACAAGGAATCCTTTGGTTCCAGGCTTTCTCCAAACACAGAAGTCTCACACTAAAGATTAACTCTATGTGTCAACACAAGTGGAGTCTCCCTTTCTGTCTCTGCAAACACTAAAGCCTCAGAGGAAAATCTCTGTGCATCCTGGAGCCTGGGACAACAGCAGCGAGTCTACCATCCACTGCAAAAGATCTCTAAATGTTTACCTTGCCTGAGTAGCCCCCACAGAAAGTCCTCAGAAGAAGCTTTTCAGCAAGTCTGTGTATACTCTGTAAATCACCTGGGGTGTATAGTCTAGAATTGAGAAATAAAGCATCAGCAGCAGTGTCACAATCCCTGCACTAACCATTTACAGCATCACATAAATTATCATTACATATTGCAGCTTAAAGAGGCAGTAAAGAAAAATCTCATCAGTGAGTGTGTGAGGACAGATGAAGCAGAGCAGAGGGGAGGACAGAGAAGGGGAGGAGATTTAAATGGTCATCTAGTGAAAAGGTAGTGTGGGGGCAATTAGAGGCGAGACCGGAGCTCAGAGCAGCACTGAAAACTGAAACTGTCGCTGCAACTTGACGCATGGAGCGGATCCACCACACGTTTTTGGACTGAAGAGACTCCCTTTTTTCTTTTTCCTTTGTGCACTGAATATGCTTTGCCTAAACTGGCTGCCACTTCATGCTGCAGAGGCGTTTTAGGATTCCTGCTTTGATCCAGTTTATTTTTTTATGTGAATTCAAAAACTTTTCTTATTAGCCTGTTGTTTTATTGCCCTCCAGCTGCTCCTGATCGCGTCTGGGGCCTCTATCCATTGGTAAGCACAATCCATTTCATCAGGTTACACGCGGCAGCGGGAGCTACGTGACTGCACTCATTCTCTGAACCGGGAGCGGATGAGTTGGAAATTCCCAGTCAGCATATTTTTTTTTCTTTTTTTCTGAGCAGTTTGGCACATTTTTTGTTGGATTGTTTTATTGTGTGCGCCGGGAGCCATCAACCCCCTCTCTCCACTCGCAGACATCGCGAAATGAAACTCGGTCTTGTCATCCAGACTGCGGTGGCGCTTCATCTGCTGCTCTCACCTGCACAGGTAAGTCATACAACTTTACGCGCAGCAAGAAGATAGGTGGGATTGTCTGTCATTTTAACTCAAAATTAGACTCACCTAGAGTATGTGCAATGTGTCTACTATAAAAATGACAAAGTAATAATTTAGATAGAATATTAAAGCCTATTAAAGTCTGTTATCAGCCCAAACTGTGCATATGAAGTGCTTAATATGGTTGCTGATGAAGTGATAATGATCCATTGCGCTTTGACGCCTTTTTACGGGTTTTGAATGAGCGCCATTCTTCTCACTTCATTCATAAGATGAAACGTGACAAACTGCATCACTCTCTGCCTGTGGAACACATGATGTAAAGTGACTCACTGTTTTATCTGGCGGGGCTCTCTAAGCTTATAATTACAGCCGCATCATACTTTTCACAGACATGGATTATTCCCTGTAGCCTATGTTCTCTTTTTCAGTATACATTTCCTTAAAGGAAACACTCTGATTTATATGTTGGTGAGAAATTCCTTAAAAATAAAACAGTCTTCTATAAATATTTCAGTGGCAATACCTTGCCTAGCTGGTCTTTAAACAGATCCTGGTGAGTTGGCACATTGCTTTGCCTGGCAGACTGGAATTGTTGGCAGTGCATCAGGTAAAACCTGGCAACAAAGTTTTACAGTCTTCAGTTTCTCTTCTTTTCATCTGCACCTGCAGCTTTTCCCTTCCCATCTTGTTTGATCTCAGCATATATCTGCATGTTTAAATGTGTACGTGCAGTGTAAGTAATCACCATGATAAAGATAAGCCAGTGTGTGTGTATGTGTGCAAAAATATCTATTGAAACTTAATTTCAGGCCGGTCATATCACTGTCAGGCTGGCAGGGGATTACTGTAGTACAAAGATGTACTGTTCTCTGTTGCCTGGCATTGCCTTTTAGTCTTAAAATGACAATGTGCCAGATCAGGACAGAGCTGAAACTGGAGTGAGAACTCATTCAAAAGGCCTGTGTATAAACACTTGTAAGAGGATGTGCAGGACTTGTGCCAACTCAGACTCTTGAACCCATTCAGTCTCTGATTTCCTCCCGAGGTGGCGGAGGGCTGGCAGCTATCTCTGGCGGCTCTCATGTTTAATGCAAAACCAGACCATTGTTGTGTCCGTCCATTCACTGCCCCCGTCACAATTCATACACTGCTGCCGCCTGTTGAACTAAGTGAGACGGTTTCAGTTTCCCTTTTGCCAGGCTCGAGTGCCCATATAGATATATTACACTCATACTAAGAAAGGCTTTCAAGTTTGGAGAAAGCTCCATGTCCCACCAGATTCTCTAGTCGGAGACTTTGCAGCTGTTGCTGAGTTGAGAGTGAGTGGGAGAGGCATGGGATCACCACATCTCCACTAATCCTCATAATCAGCTCATGGCGTGCTCAGTCAAAATAAGAGTGACAAAATCCAGGGCCCTCAACATGAAGCAGGTTAACTGGTCCCCTGCTGCCCAAAAGACTGACAGCAAATATAAACCATTAAATTCTGAGATTCATCAACCTGTCAGAACATACAGACCTGAGCTTGGTATTTCTGAGGTCCCGGCCCTTCTCTCACACTTCAGTTGCCATTAATTCCTTTATGTTAAAAAAAGGAGGGGGTATTCTGCTTTAGTGCAAAAACGCGCCCAAAGATGTAGCCATAAATAAGTCTGAGGAGCTAAATACTTCACATTTTTAGCACACAAGCGACTAGCAGCTCTATTCAAGTCACAGTGACAAAATGAGCCTCTTCTGGTAGGTGTCCGTCCTGCCAGCTCTCACAGTAAACTGTCTGGCCTACCAAAGTGGAAAAAGCAAACATTGGCCATGTGGTTGGGAATGTGATTTATAAATGTCTCTCTTTGGGACTCTCTGTCCATAAATATGTGCCACTAATTGATAATGAGGATTTCTCATCACTGTCGCAGCTGGAGTTGCAGTCAGCAGCCCATGACTCATGCAGTCATTCATGTCCGCTAAGAGAGTGGCCAAGAGAGAGGGTGGGGTTAACTGCATGTGCTTATGATTTTGCTTTACTACCAGGGGTTTACAGCATAGCTCAGTGTGTGTGTGTGTGTGTGTGTGTGTGTGTGTGTGTGTGTGTGTGGTAGAAATGTAGTCACTTTTAATCAAAGGTCTGTCATTTAAATATGTTCGATGAAACAAGTGGGATGTTTATTGTGGCCCTTTAGGTCTTTTCTTCTCATATCTTCATGTCTTTTTCATCAGTCTTCTTAAAGTTTATTACCAGATAAACCAAAGAGTGATTTTTTACCTGCTGTTCTGAGTCATTTTTAAAGGCCGGGAGAGGTCCAATTTTCAAGTTATAGTATTTATACAAAGACAAACAATGTTTTGACAAATGTCCAAAAAAATTAAAGTATTCTTGTGTTACATAAATGTCCATTGTAGAAATGAGCCATCAATAGTTTTTTCATATTTACTTTACCCTTTGAATCTTTTCTTTACCAGCATGTTCAAGCAAGAAGACAAGCAATAAGCCGCTGGTGTTGTAATTAGGTGGAGATAAGTTAGGGTCAGTGTAAAGGTGGAGCACAGGCATATACATGAGGAAATGGTTACAGCTGAGTATGCAAATTAAAAATCTGAATCAGTGCTGATGAAAACATAAAGTACAACAGTTAGCATCAAAATTGCTGAAACAACTGATAGAATTAATGTTGTCCCAGGTCCTGTGATTTCAAGTCATGTGTGCTCTCTGTCAGAGACAGTCCTGGTGGCAGTCATGGCTCATGATAGCGTGTGGAAGCACCTGGGTTTCCCTTTGGAACAATGGTGACCTCTCAGTCACTTAGTTACCAATGCCGTGCACCGGTTATTTTGTTCCTCGACACTCTCCTCTCTCCTGTTCAGTGTGTTATTGCTACTTCCTGTGTGTATAAGTCACATACTAAATAGAGACAGAGTACAATGCGTCATATTCTGAAAACCACGCCCACCACAGGGGGGGGAAAAAACGGCACCACAATATGCAACCAAGGGCTGAAACTGTAACAAAGTGTTTGTTTGTTCCTAAAAATATAAGATTTCAGCATATTTAAGGATTATTATAGCTCCTTATGTCCACCAGAGAGGAAAAGGTATTTTGACAAACTAAATATTGTCAGTCTGTCTCAGTGTCCCTTCTCTTTACCTTGTTTTCATGGGGAAATGATCGCACTGGAAGGCCAGAAGTAAAATATTTAAAACGATTTGATCAAATCACCAGCTAAGATTGTCATTTAACCAAACAAAGATCAAAACCAGACCTTATATAACTTAATTAACTCCAACCCCAATGCTTGCTGCACAGTGTCAGGATCCCACAGTTTTATAATTCTTCTTGCTGGTGCTGCACGTCTGTATCCACTTTGGTCTTCTTAAAGGCTCAGTTTTTTGGTTTGGCAGTTTATGAAGAACTTAGTTCTGGGTTCTTTACCCTGTTGGTAGTGCATCCCACCACACAGCCACTTTTAGGCTTTTTTCTGTTGTTTGCTAGCACATATAAGTGAGAAGGAAGCATGTTCAGGCAATACAAAGTCAGTGGAGTGAAATTAATTGTTTATTCTGCGATGGGGGCGGGATTTAATTGTGCTCTGTCTCTGTATGTATAGTGTGTGTGTGTGTGTGTGTGTGTGTGTGTGTGTTTAAACTACAGTCCCGTGTAAAGGCTATCGCTGCTCAGTTCCTGCCTGTACTTCACTTGGCAGATTGAAAGAGCTTTGCCTAAATCTGCAGTACCTGTTGCCTCCTGCCCACTTGGCATTCTCCCCCACATCATAAAAAAAATGTAATAGAACATAGTGTGTACAATACCTCCTCCTTATTGTCATAGTGATGAATGCAGGTAAATTCTTGCATCAACACAACCAAACCTGACTGACATTAGTCAGAGTTTCCAGAGGAAAACAGCTGAGTGCTGGGGATTTGGACACATTTTTGTTATATCAAGTAAATCTGTGAAGGATGAGATTGAGAAGCCTTTTTCATATGAGATTATGAAACTCTTTGCACGTGTCTATTTCTAAATACAGCATTTTTGTTGGATAAAACCATGGAAACCTGAAACAGGAAAACGTCTTGCCTAACTTATTTGACTTTGCCAGACAGTGAGACTCATCACTTCATCAGTGAGGCATGTTCCTGATGTCTCTTCGCAAAAAAAAAGGAAGCCAGTGAGCCTCAGCCTCTTCTTGTGTGTCTGTGTGTGAGGACATGACGTTGCACAGGTGCTTCCTTTACGCCACCACTTGCTGCAAAACAATATTTGAGTCTGACCATCTGCATTGCACACATGTTTCTGTGTTTGTGATCGTCATGTGTTTTTCCTATTTTTGTTCATAACTAGCCAAATGTAGATTGCATGATGTCATATTTCCAGGAGTTACGATACGGTTTCATCAGCAAAACATTTCCTAAAACATCATCAGTAAACAGAAGGTTCCAGTTTCTTGGAATCAAACAGCGACAATTGTGGTGAAGATGCAGCTCAGTTATTGACAATCAAAAATTAAAAGATTGGGTTCTCCCTTCTCCCTGTGTCCTTGGCTCTTGTACGTTTGCACATCTTTGTAGTTCAGATGTCTGCAGTGGCAGTGACCTGCTGACTGTTGTTGTATTTCTCTCTAGTTGTAATGTCCCGGCCCAAGGGAGGGCCGCAATTGCAATCAGGAAATATGGATTTCTCCTTCCTCCTGCGGAGGAGGAGGAGCGGTGGCGCTCCAGGCAGCCGTCTACACAGCGAGCTTTAATCTCCCATCTGGATGTAATTTACTGTGGTTTACACAGGGAGAACAGCGTTTACTGTAATAGAGACCACAATTACCACCAGTCAGCCTTATCTCAAGACCTGTGTCGTGTGTGTGTCTGTGTATGTGTGTGTGTACGGACACCGTGCATGGTTTACACAGTGGTCCTGTGTGTGTCTTCAGGGGGACATTTGTGCATGCATTAATGGACTTATACTGAGGAAATGGTGTTTATCTAAATCAACATTTATATGGACT